TGTGTCTGTGTGTCTGTGTGTCTGTGTGTCTGTGTGTCTGTGTGTCTGTGTGTCTGTGTGTCTGTGTGTCTGTGTGTCTGTGTGTCTGTGTGTCTGTGTGTCTGTGTGTCTGTGTGTCTGTGTGTCTGTGTGTCTGTGTGTCTGAGTGTCTGTGTGTCTGTGTGTCTGTGTGTCTGTGTTTCTGTGTGTCTGTGTGTCTGTGTGTCTGTGTGTCTGTGTGTCTGTGTGTGTGTGTGTCTGTGTGTCTGTGTGTCTGTGTGTCTGTGTGTCTGTGTGTCTGTGTGTCTGTGTGTCTGTGTGTCTGTGTGTCTGTGTGTCTGTGTGTCTGTGTGTCTGTGTGTTGTGTGTCTGTGTGTCTGTGTGTCTGTGTGTCTGTGTGTCTGTGTGTCTGTGTGTCTGTGTGTCTGTGTGTCTGTGTGTCTGTGTGTCTGTGTGTCTGTGTGTCTGTGTGTCTGTGTGTCTGTGTGTCTGTGGTACTGTGTGTCTGTGTGTCTGTGTGTCTGTGTGTCTGTGTGTCTGTGTGTCTGTGTGTCTGTGTGTCTGTGTGTCTGTGTGTCTGTGTGTCTGTGTGTCTGTGTGTCTGTGTGTCTGTGTGTCTGTGTGTCTGTGTGTCTGTGTGTCGGTGTGGCTGTGTGTCTGTGTGTCTGTGTGTCTGTGTGTCTGTGTGTCTGTGTGTCTGTGTGTCTGTGTGTCTGTGTGTCTGTGTGTCTGTGTGTCTGTGTGTCTGTGTGTCTGTGTGTCTGTGTGTCTGTGTGTCTGTGTGTCGGTGTGTCTGTGTGTCTGTGTGTCGGTGTGTCTGTGTGTCTGTGTGTCTGTGTGTCTGTGTGTCTGTGTGTCTGTGTGTCTGTGTGTCTGTGTGTCTGTGTGTATGTGTGTCTGTGTGTCTGTGTGTCTGTGTGTCTGTGTGTCTGTGTGTCTGTGTGTCTGTGTGTCTGTGTGTCTGTGTGTCTGTGTGTCTGTGTGTCTGTGTGTCTGTGTGTCTGTGTGTCTGGTTGTCTGTGTGTCTGTGTGTCTGTGTGTCTGTGTGTCTGTGTGTCTGTGTGTCTGTGTGTCTGTGTGTCTGTGTGTCTGTGTGTCTGTGTGTCTGTGTGTCTGTGTGTCTGTGTGTTTGTGTGTATGTGTGTCTGTGTGTCTGTGTGTCTGTGTGTCTGTGTGTCTGTGTGTCTGTGTGTCTGTGTGTCTGTGTGTCTGTGTGTCTGTGTGTGTGTGTGTCATCTACACAACGCAAACAATCATTGCTTGGACTATTGTCGTGATGGTTTGTATTAGATTCATGGCTAGATTGGGTTTCTCTCGAATGATAAGGTACTCGTAACCTCCAAGAAGGAAGCAGGCGCAAGGCAAGGCGATACCAACTCAATGGTTGAAGATCCGACGCAACTGGCCTCTCAGGGTGGCATAGGCGCACTGGCAAATGACGCGCTTGTTGGTAAATCGCACAATCAGGCGGTACTTGCGGTTGTTGAACTTGTTCTTGTCCTGGGCTTGCTGGATCAAGCCAAAATCGCGCCTTCCCAAAGGAAACTCGCTTCAAACTAGGATCAAATCTAGGGAACCCTGTCCTGTGTCCCAGAGAGGCGTCCTTTTAAAACAGTAGATTGATTCTACTGGTAAATGGCTAGATCTAAACGAAAACCTGAAATCCATCCATGTTCAACCAAGCTGACCTGAAACAACAGCTATGATCCCAAATCTTGACACGGTGCGTCCCAAACCAGAAATCGAACGGGTCACCGCTCCGGCAAGAAAGGGGAACCAGGAGGATATCAACCATTTTTGGGGAGCCCTATTTTGAGAAATCCCCACCGCCGGCAAAATCTCTTCTTCCCTCACGAGGGCGTAGAACTGTCTTTTTGTGAGTCCAATGGTTTGTGGGAAAATTCGTGAGTGCACCCATGTCCCAAATGGACTATAGACTGTCGTAAACTCATGTTGACCGTCGCTGTGTGGGGTTTTGCGTGTTTGCGTGTTTGCTGGCTGGCTGGCTGGCTGGCTGGCTGGCTGGCTGGCTGGCTGGCTGGCTGGCTGGCTGGCTGGCTGGCTGGCTGGCTGGCTGGTTGATTGCTTGTGTCAACAGTGTAGACCCCCGTGTCTCTTTGAGAATCAAACCAACAACCAGGAAACCAACTCGTCTAAAACGGAAAAACGGGAAACCAACGCGTTGGACACACTCCCATGGTCCAAATGCCCGGGCCTTGGCGCTCGACGGAATGGTCTACTCCCCTTCAGACCCCCCAAAAAAGCAAGCCCATATTTTGATTGGGATGGCCCCTAAGAAAAAAAGAGCAAATCACGCGCACACACGTTCTGGGACCGTCCCCCGATTTGGGCTCCCATGTTTTTCACGGCAATTGGAGCCAAACCCCCGCGCAAGGCAAACTGGAGCCTTGGACAGTCCTGGCGCACCATCTTCCGGCGCGCATGGTAGTCTGTCTTGCCCTCGCGCCGGCGGCGGCGCGCCACCTCAACGTGGGATTCAACCCCCAACCCTCAGCCCCCCGCCCTGTCTCAAAAATGGGGACCTCTTTTGGATGGTGCGAGAAAAACAAAATAGATGCCACCATAAGCCAAGCATTGTGTCCAAATCGGGGATAACAGACGGGGAGAGCGGTATACGAAGGGTGGTGGAAAAATGATTCCTGTCTGCATGGCTTCCCACTAAACAAACTCTCCTTAGAGGTTCCTTTTCCGTGGGGGGGACAAGTGCGAGCTCCTGACACTAACAATTGCGCCAAGGGAGCTGCATTTTTTGTTCCCACGTACCCGCCTGAAAGCGCCTGAAGTAGGCGGGGTTCTTCAGAACCTTCACGAAGGCCATGGCTTGCTCACTCGCTCTCTCTCACTCTTGGGGCACGAGCCGATGTAAGTCCCTCCCACGCAAACGATGGCGAAGCGGCGCTTCAAGCGCCCGCCGGCGAGACGGTCCAAAGGCCGCCGACGATGCTCGATGCAATAGTTGACCCCCATTTCTAACAGAACGGGCATGAAAAGAAGACGTGTGAAGAAGTCCAACGAGCAGAATGGAGACCTTAGACCTCTGACATTCGCAGTCTCGCGCTGTTTTGCCACTTTGGCAGGTATAGTACACAGCCGAAACCGGGGTTCGGGCAGCGCACTGTCTAACTTTAATCTCTTGGGTAGCCAGCCACCAGACTTATCCACAGTGTGATTGCGGAGTCACAGTGCCAACAAGCTTCAAATGGGGTTTGGACGTCCGCACAATGTGCTGCGTCCAGGCCACAATTGCTTTCCCGCTGGGATCTTCTTATGGGAATCCTCGCACCTCAAGCTGTTCACTTTCCGTCTCAGTCTGCGCCGGCCGGGTTTCTTGGGCGGGCGAAGCGATCCGTTGCCCTGGAGTTTTTGGGGCTCCAACCTGGAGCCGTTGGAAGGAGCCGCGTTCGAGCGGCTGAAGCCGTTCAGCTCCCTGGGAGCCTTGGTTCCGCGCACGTGCTCCGGTGCTGGTGCCTCAGGGCTCCCAAGAACCGCCATGGTGAGCTGGGTATGGGTCAAAATTAGACCACTAAAGGACAGGTTTTAGTCCGTGTTTCCAGAAGGGTTCCATTTCAGGTACCTACTTTTGACCCACAGCCAGTTGGTTTTGTAACAGGAAACCAAAGGAAAGTATCTGCCAATTCCCCCAAAAGGAAAGGAAGCATCCAATGTCCAATGCCACGACCAAACTCCTGTAAAAGATCCTTACGGCTCCCTTCAGAATCCTTGCGTCCACTGTCCCCGTACCCAAAGGAATTTTCAGGAAACCCATCCTCCATTTCCCAATATTCCGAAGGGTTCGGATCAAACGAGCCAGCCTTCTAAATGGGGTTTGCTGGATTTGCCACCCTGTTTCTAAGCACAATTTACAGGCTATTTTTCGGCTACCGCTAAATGGACCGAATAATAGAACCTTAACTGCGTCGCCCCTTCTCTCATGTGGCAGCGGGGCCAAAAAAATGATAGACCCCGTTTTGGTGGGTAAAGGGAAACTAACCAGCAGGGGTTTAGGAGACCACTATTTTGAGAAACACCCATTGTACCGGTCCTTACAGTCGACTGGTGCCTTCAAAATGCATCACAACATAGTAGTGCTATCAGAAGTCCCCCCCAAACGGAACCCCACTGCAGTTTTTGCATGTGCTCTTTTCCCTTTTCTTGATGCCCCCCTTTCTTTTTGGGGGGGAGGGGTTCAAAGCAACACCTTTGTGTTTCTATCATACTTGTCCTGTGTTTCAAAAAACATAGAAGAAGAAAGAAAAAAACTAGAAACAACTAGAAGAAAAAAAGAGACCCACCCGATTTGGGTTTCCCAACTGCTGACGTGTTGACTCCGGACATCGAAATCCGAACCCGACCCCCGACTCCTCGAGGAGCTTCGCTAGGACCTCGGCGATGTCCCAGGCGTGGCCCAGGCCGAGGTCGAAGTGGCTGCCGTCCAGCACCCGCCTCTGAGGCTGGTGCCATAAGAACGGGCAACGAGTCGCCCCAAGAGGCGCTGGGTCAGAAATTGGGTAACCCCAAAATGAGTTGCCCTGGCAAGTAGAAAACGTGGACTACCCGCGGTCCCCTGGTGGTTTAATTTTGAATACCCAAGAAAATACAACAAGCCATTTCCGCCTTGGTGTCATTTGTTCGCGAATCCCCCAAACTTCCGGTTCATTGCCAACACAAACGGACTCGGTCCTTCCCTCTGGCACCTTTCGACTTTTGCCTGTCAGTATTGAGGTGTTTTTTCAAGTGAAAACCGCTAAAAAGCCCGGCCTTTTCTGCCTTCTTGGCCTTCAATTGGCAGGGCCTATTGGGGGTCTTTGGATGTCATGGGCCGCTTGAGCTCCCAAAATTCCCGTGTGCTGAAACGCCAGAAGAAAACAGGGTGTTTCCAAAAATAGGGACCCCCTGCTGGGCATCCTTTTGATACCCCCTTGAAATACAAACCATAAAATTGGGACTGCCAAAATCGGCAAGGCGCATTTTGGGGTGGGCGGATTGCTTCCGTTAGGCTTCCATTTCTCTGAAGCAACCCACAGAATGGTACCGAACCTCAAACATGACAGCTGGCCCGTGCCTGGTCGCGCCGCCGGCCGCTCCCAAACCTGCCCGCGGTGCCACCTCCGCGTCCGAGCCGAAGATCCGCGAAGGGTCCCGGCCGCACACGCAGGCGGGGCTCACAGCGGCCGTCAGGGTGGTGTGGCACTCAAGCTGACGGATCATCCTCGAAACGAGAATTGACTCACTCGAAGGAATGGGCCGCTGTTCTTGTTCAGTGGAACTTCGGTTGGGCGCCCCAAGGCCCCATGACGACTTTGCTTCGCAAACAAACGCATCGAGGGCCTTTGGGGCGGTCTTCAGGGTTCTAAGCAGAAGCCGGCCCCAATTTTGGGATCTTGGTGCACCCATGGTGAACTTGCAAGCTATTCTAGGATGGCAGCGGATATTCGAATCCTATCCGAAGTGGGTTGGCTACAGGCTGCTTGTTACAAAGCCAACTTAACCTGGCATGGACCATTGTGCCCCAGAACTTGGAAGCGTTCGATGCCCAGAACCCATCTCTGCGGAATCCATGGCAAAGGACAGAAAGTTGCGCTTGATTGCGTCCCTTGCGAAGCACCCGTTCCGCCCCCCGGTTGGCCTTAGAACGCAACATAGTGGGACAAAATCCTGCACCAGTTGGGATGGACGGAACCCTATGAATACCGTGCTAAACCACCTGCCCACTGGCGCAGGACTACAGAAGTAAAACAATCAGCCATTCCTGACAGTTGCAGAAATGGATGTTTGGATAATAGCCCCCCTTCAATCCACATGCCCGAAATCAGGGAAATCCTCATGCGGCCTGAGGTCGCACGAGGATTAACTTGTGAGGCTTCCAACTAACCGAATCTGCCCAAATATGCATGAAACAAAGTATGAACCGGAGCCCGGCCACCGATGAAAGAGGGAACCAAAAAGAGGAACAGCTGCAGAAACAAGCTTGAAGTTTAAACATGTGGCTGTGGGTCAAGAATAGGTACCCAAAATGGGTTGCCCTGGAAAACGTGGACTAAAACCCGCGGTCCCCTGGTGGTTTAATTTTGACCCATACCCACCCATGTCTTTCCACCTGTTTGGCCCAACAAGCCCGGCCCGGACTTCCCCAAACAACCCGGTCCTGGCCGCTTCCTGCGCCAGGAACCGCCACTGGAGCCGGCCGCAGGAGCTCCATTCGCCGCCGCATGCGTCGCATGAGTCGCTGAGAGCACGTGGCAAGGGCACCCGGCAGTCCAAGTCCACCACCCCCTTCACCGAGACGCCCATGGCCTGCAAAGAACTTTCGAGTCCAACCGTCGAAGCGTCGAAGGTGACGAGTCGTTGCGTATGGGCAACAAAAGTGGTAAACCCCGATGTTTGTTTGGTGTAGAGTGAGAACCGATACAAAGCACCCAAAGGATGAACAAAATCCGCTTTGCCAAATATCCGTTCAATTCGTACCAGCCGGAAGTGTGATGTTAAAACAGTCTATATAACTGGAAAACTGAGGGCGCCCGCTAAATGCGAAAAGTTACTCCTCATGTTGTGTCCGGTGCTGGCTGGGCTGAAACGCCACTGCCGTCGCTCGAACATGGTCGCTCTTTCGCACTCATCGAAACTTGGTACAATCCAAAAGGTCCACCCCAACAACCAACCACCCAGCCAACCAGCCAACCAGCCAGCCACCCACCCACGCACCAACCAACCAACAAACCACGCAGCCAACCCCACCACCACCCACCCACCAAAGCAACAACCAGCAACCCACCCACCCACCGCCGCTTTCCCACTTATCCCACTTACCCACTTACCACTTACCCACCTTACCCACTTAACCCACTTTACCCACTTACCCATTACCCACCCACCCACCACCCACCCACCCCACCAGCCACTCCCCACCAGCACCCCACCCACCCACCCACCACACCCACCCACCCACCCACCCACCCACCCACCCCACCCACCACCCACCCACCCACCACCCACCCACCCACCCACCCACCCACCACCCAACCACCCACCACCCACCACCCACCACCCACCCACCCACCACCCCACCCACCACCCACCCACCCACCCACCCACCCATCAACCACCCAACCACCCCACCAACAAGCCAACCACCCACCCACCAACAAACCAACCAACCAACCCACCCACTCACCCACCCACCCACCAACCAACCAACCAACCACACATCAACCAACCACACATCAATCAACCAACCAACCAACCAACCAACCAAGCAAGCAAGCAAGCAAGCAACCAAGCAAGCAAGCAAGCAAGCAACCAAGCAAGCAACCAAGCAACCAAGCAACCAAGCAACCAAGCAACCAAGCAACCAAGCAACCAAGCAACCAAGCAACCAAGCAACCAAGCAACCAAGCAACCAAACAACCAACCAACCAACCAACCAACCAACCAACCAACCACCCACCCACCCACCAACCAACCAACCAACCAACTAACCAATATACAGAGAGAAGGGCTTGCCACATGTCTGACTGCCACATCCGGAGCACCCGAAGCTCCGTTGTGCTCCGAACCCCGCCTCCAAGTGCGCCGTGCAGTGCCGAGCGCAACAGGCACCCGCACTCCATCCAACCAGCACCAGGCGGTTTGAGGGCTCCGAGTCGGTGATTGACAGCAAGCGGGAGACCATCTGGGGCCAGCTCATGTACCCCAAGCTGGAGGTAAGATCCATGGGGTCCAGGCATACCCCGGCCATCCTCGGACAGGTGTCTCAGAATCTGTTGGGGTCAAAATACGACTAAAGAAGGGCATGACAAAGAACACCAATCAGCAAACCGCTCAACTTCTCACTTCCGAAGGTCCTCACCAGCCGCAAGAGGCTCAGCAAGCATTCGCCCCGCCGCCCCCCGCGCGCCCCGCCCCCAAGGGCAACGATGGTGGCCATCTTCTTCGCGCTCGGCACGTCCGGCCAGCTCCTTCCGGGAGCCGCTGGCCGGTTTCAACGGCTTCCCAAAGAAAAAGAACGCGATCTGTTCATTTCCAAATTGGGTTTCACGCTTCTCCAAATTGGGGAGCAGTTCAGCAGTTCCAGGTTGACACACCAAGTTCCTTTGCTTCCCAAGTTGACACACCATTTGCCGCGCCTTCCCTCGGGCAGTGAGCCACGCATAGTCACGCGGCACGAAGTCACCGACGAGAAAGCACGCATGCAACGCGTGCAACGCGTGCAAGAAGTGAAGTTTTTACATTTCAATCTCACGGCTTGCCGCTGTGACATGTCAACTGTGAGTCATCGAGGTGTGTTTGGTCGGCACACACCGGCGCCCCGCAGGACCACAAGGTTGAGATCTCGCTTTCTGCGACGGGTCAAAGTAGGCGATTCCTGCGTGTTCTGCCATCCGGTTGGCATGGGATGCAAGGTATTTGTCTTTGCTGGGCCTCAAAAGGCCAGCAGAAGATCTTGCCTGTCGCATGTTGGTGGAGTTCTGTCTGAGTGGGGCTGATACTCTTGCGCAGTGGATGCGAAAACTGGAACTCTCCACCACACGTGTCTATGAAATACACAGTGGCTCACCCCTCAGCACGTGGGTCACAAGCATGCTACCCTCTTTGTAGACTGGGAAAAAAGCAACGCAAGCGCTTACGCTCTGAAGGCGCGCGTAGCTCGTTCGGCGCGTGCTTGCCTTGAGGCAGCGCACCGACAACGGAACACTCCCCGCCCCACGCATGGCGAGCTCCGCCCAAGTGCTCAGCTGGCAGCTGGTCCATTGGCCTTTCGGGTGCTGGCAGTCACGAAGGTGCAAACGTGAACTTGGAACCTGCGGACATCATCGGATGTGTTTTTGTCCGAGTTTTGAGCTCGGCTTAACATTGGCCGCGAGCACCGAAAGCAGCTTCTTGAAGCAAAGCTGTGCTGCCATTCTTCTGGCGTCGAAAAGCTCAGCTGCTTGGCAACCCGCATTCATGGCCAAGGCGGTTAAATTCGTGTACTTTTCGGGGCTGCTTCGATCTTTGGACATGATCTATTCACCAGTTGGAATTTGGGAGCTGTCAAAATATGGCCCCCTTTCTGGACCCTGGCGCCTTGTGCCGCCTTTTAGAAGGGACACCAAAGAGGGCCCCTAATTTTCACAACGGATCAAAGTCGCTTCGGCCTACACTTCACGCCTGGAACAGCTGACTCCCGAAAGGGCAAGCACGACTCCGACGGAAGAGATTGGCAAACCACAGGCAAGCGCCGGAGTTGCAAGGGCCTTGTCCTGATCCCTGCCCTACAGCTTTCCCAATCCACGCGGCTCGACCGCAAGCTCCCGCGTCAGCGGAAAACCCCCTTTTCCATGGCCCTCAAGACCCACAGGTGCTTCAGCAAGTTCGACTCGAGAAAACTATTCACCAACGCCCTTTCAGGTATGGCATGCTGCACTTGGCCATGCCACATCGGCAAGTCGCTATATAGCCAAAAAGGCTAATGCGCACAGCTATGGCAACCTGCCGGACTAACTGTGCAGGCCAAGACATGTCAAGACTCCCAGCTGCGTCAAAATGTATGACAAGGTCGTGGGGATCTGACCCGGCAAAGCCGGCACTGGCCCCTACAAGATCTGGCTGCGCATCCAGGGGCTAACAAATACGAATCGGCGCTGCATCTAACAGGCAATACACACCCGGCTTTACCGGATCGCAACTGCGAATCCCATTCGTGTGTTGCATGCGCTCACCTGCCAGATTCTGTATCAATTATCCAAGGGAACCCTCCCTCACACTCTTGTCAGGCTGGCACGAGGTCTAGTATTCCAGGCCAAACCTGCAGCCCGTACTCATCTTGGAAGGCAGGGAGGTCGCGCGCTCTGTCTGGGCACGGTCTGCCTGCGAATCCGTGGCAGGGCGTGTGACATCAAGGGTAAGACTTGCAACGTGATCGGTTGGAGAGTCTTCAGCTGAAACTCCTCACGGCAACGAGGTGGCGAAACGCCTGCGTCTGGCTGGCGAGTGACGCGACCGTTCGTCTGAGCGCGAGGTCGAAGCTCAGAGTTGACCCACCAGCTCCCACGTCAAAGCCCGAAAGCTCGGAACAGGGCAGCTAAACTCTACCTGGCCAGGGTGTGTCCGTGTCCTCTTTTGACAAATGGCCGTTCCTTATGTGTAGACATCCTCAGGGTCTACGTTGCGTCAGGCTGGCGCAAAGTGCAGCAAAGGCAGCGGTGATAGAATCCACGGACAGTTCGGCTTGGACACTTGCAGTGTGACGCTTATACCGCCTTGCCGCCCTGGTGGGGTTCTATATACCTCCTCTCGGTCGCGCTTGCAAGAAGGCAGTCGCAAAAGGCGATTCGAAAGCGATCTCACCTCCTGATCCGAGCATCCCATTCTACCCGAGTGCAATGGGACGTAACCATCAAATGCTGGCCGGCCAGACGCATGGAATCTGCCTAGGTGGAATCAAGGCCCAGTTCTGAATCTTTCCCTGCGCCAATGCCAATTCCGGACTCCGCCCCTCCTCAGCTTCACAAAGCCCGCGGCTTCCAGGGGCACAGCTTCAGCTCAAATTTCCCGCCAGGGCACGAGTCCAGTGGGGTGTCGTGGAGACACGTCGGGCGCACGCTCAGCTCAGCGAAACACCGGCCGCCGGTTTCAGGCGACGGAGGCCCAAGACGCCTTGGGCCTTGAGGCCTTCATAGCCGCCAGAGCGCCGTGAGGTGCCCTTCGAGAAGGCCCCAAAACGGGAGGCCGCCTTCTGAGCAAGCAAGCCCCAGCTTGGGGATGAACATACGGGGCCTCAAGGGAAAGCGCGGCAGCTTAACGGGAAGTTAAGTTTGATAGAAAGAACGTGACTTTGTCAAAATGCGTAACTTTGTCGATCGACTTCTGACGTGTCCACAGGCCAGAAGTTCAAGACGAAGAGCTGCGGACTCATTGCTATGTGGTGCGCAAAGAGCAAAGTGTCCGCGGCTGGTGACGACCAAAACAACCTCAACCGAACCCAGGCCCTTTGCCTCTGCCCGGCCGGACGAGAGTCAGATTCAGCTGGCTATTTCATCCGTTTTTGGAGGATATGGCTTGCCATATCCCCAAAAACTCAAGATAGCCCAGGAGGGCTCCCACTTTGAGGATGTGCTCGCCTATGCCCTAGAGTTCCAGCTGTGAGTGGATCAACATGAAAAGGGGCTGAGCCTTGCTACCAAACCTCCAGCCGAGGGTAAGGCACCATTTGCTTCGTGGCCAGCGCAGTGTCCTGGTCAACTTTGCAGACACGAACTCCAGCAAGGCGGAAGGGGCACATCACTTGGCCCGAACGTTGACGCAGTTCTTGGTCACGGCTCTCGCCTTCGGCGGAGAAGCTGCAAAGGTCTGGTGCCTTTCGGTGCAATTCCTTGCAATTCCTGCCAAATCCTCAGGGACAGATCGACGACCTCACCGGTTTGGACATAGCCAGCATGCTGACACCGATTCCGGGCACTCGGTGCGAGGCTCTGGGGACATTTTGCACTCTGGCTAGCGAACAAAACTTAAAACTACGGGGCCAAGGCAACTTTCGATTTTTGTATTTTTGCGTTGTCTATCAGCAACTGAAAGTTCCACGGAGAAAACCGGCATCCTAGAGTGCCCCCTTCGAATTGGGGAATCTATGGGCATCATGAGGATTCATGTACACCCAGCTTGGGTTAAAGTCTCCGAGCCATGCCATTTGCTCGCCTGGTCAGGCGGTCAGGCGGTCAGGCGCAGGTGTACGAGCCACTGGCCTTGGAAACAAAGATCGGCACTGGGGCAGTCGTCTTCAGGAAGAGCGCGACCAAAACAATCAAAACGGGAAGGCTAGGCCGATCCGGCGCAACCTATTTTCATGAAAACGCCAGAGCTGGGAGAGCCAGCTTGCCCTCCCTTATGTCGTTATTTTGCAATGGGGAATCGATCCAAAGGAAGGGATCTGAAGCTGAAACTCCGCCATAAGCGAGGCATCGCGTCGCAAGCAAGTCCCAGAGCTCGGCCATGCGACAGGAGCCCGGAATCAAAGCGGGCGCTAAGAGCCCCACAAACCTTGCCTCTGGACGGCGAAACGGTCCCCTTTGAAACATGCCTTACAGGGCAGTTGCCGGCGCTAGCTGGCAAACGATGCAAAGTAAACTGACACACAAACGTCACAAACTTCCAAGCGCGCGAGCGAAAGCTGCGAAAGCTGCGTCACAGGTGGGAAGCTGCGCCGCTGAAGCCGCTTGCTTCACACAGGCTGGAATCGACCAAGGCGGCTCCGTGCGTCACGTCACGCGAAGCGCGAAGGCATCATAAAAATTATTCCGCACACACGGGCCCCGCACTTTGCGGTGCGTGCACGCAAGTGGTCATGCAAGAGGCAAGGTGAGAGGTCACGCAAGAGGGGTCGCGCAAGAGGCCATGCAAGAGGTCAAGCAAGGCACCCGCACCTGTGCAGAGCTAAACCCAAAGCTTCCCTGGGCTTCAGTGCATCGCACCCCGAGTCCTCCGTTAATCCGTGGCCCTTTCTCTCAGGTCCAGTCTCTTGGACAAGATCCACTTGGCCAGCTCCAGGCCGGTCTGGTCAAGACAAATGGGCGCAAGCCCATCCATGGCTCAAAATCTGACCAAACTACGGCGCTCGGCTGTTTGATTCCCTCAGGCGCCGCGCCGAATATCTTTTGCGGAGAAGAGAGGAATCTGGGGTGGCATGACTGTACACTTAGGCTACGGGATATTCTGGTGGCTTCCTGCGTAGAACTTGAAGCATTTGGTGAATCCACCATCCAATCAGTCAAAGGGTCATGTGGAATGAGGAAACAGACTAAGAACAGGGAGGGAAACAAAATGAAACAACGCGCCCAGCATAGACAAAGGCACTGACCTGGGAGTGGAGATGACGAGTTTCGGTGGATGCCCTAAAAAGAAAAGCGGAGCGTATCTGTATCAACAAATCTCCGCCAGACGCGAGGAATATTCATGGCTCAAATTCGAGTTCTCATAACGACAGTCTCACAGCATTTCCAAAATGTCCATAAATGCAGGCTGCCTCATGTCGCAAATGCTCAGAGTCTACGCGCTGCAGGGCTCTTTTACACGTCGCCTCTTACGAGCGCGCTGCCTGGCAGCGACACGCTCACCGTTCTCAGAATGTTCCAGGGTGTCTAGGGGTTTTGTGCATCAGCCGTTAACGAAAACTCGAAACTGCACACAGCAACACGGGAAACTGACATGCATCCGCTGAAGCCCAAACAATTCAGTTGAGGAACTACGCAAAAAGCCTCTCTTGGGTGTCTATCAAGCCCCTGCTCAATCCTAATTCTATCACAAACAAAGCCTTGTCGGCCCAAAACAAACCAAACTAGCACTACACCGGCCCGAAACCAAACCCAAACCAAGCTAAACCTAGCAGAATGGGTGAATTCTGCACCCACCCTGACTCCTCCCCTCTCGAAATCAACGCAATCGCTCACCTTTGTTGCACGCATTGCTTGCTTCGGTGGGATCCCCCCGGCTTTCATCCAGGTGTTTGTCTCGATCCTGACCAAGGAGCGCGGCGAGTTTCTGACAGGTTTCCCAGCGAGTCACAAATGTCCTGGATGGACTATTTTGAGGGTTCCAGCTGGTCTCGGACAACTGAGCCTGGAGACAGGCCCATGACCTATGCATCCAAATGGGACCTACTCCAACTTGGCATTTTGGTATGTTTTTGAATCCGACCAAATATGGAGGGGTTGCTTCTCCAACCGAGGCGCTGCATCCAAGAGACGAAACACCTTCTTGATTTCAGCCAGCCCCAGCCTCACCGCCGCTTCTTCGGGCGCTCGGGCACGTCGAAGGCGTCAGGGCCTAAGCTTAGTGGATTTTTTGAGCCAAGGGGCCCAGTGCCTAGGCTCCGCATGAATTTCATGGATCAAATAGACGACGTCCTATCTTTGTCGATAAGGGATCCCTCTTGTCAACCCCGGATGAATCAACCTGGTCAGTCCGGAAAAAGTGAACATTTCCCTCTTGGATAGAACAGCCTCCTATTCATCAACCAGGGGTTTATGAACACGGCGTCAACGCAACCAAGCTCTCAAAACGGCACGACCCCCAATTTGGAATCGTGTGTTCATAATCATCCTTGAAAACCAACCAAACGGGGGTCCCGGAAAAAAAAAGGAGAAGAAACAAAGGATCACTGGAGAAAACAAAAACACGCACGCACCCACACACACACACACACACACAGACACACTGGGGCCACCAAAGGGCACGGGCCAGCCGCTCGTTTTTGTTTGGCTCCCGGGCCACGCTTCCCCTGGATCAGCTCCAAGGCGGATTGGACGTTCATCCCCGACCTGGCGCGCTGATTTTGGCCGAGGCATCCGATTGGAGCGGATGGAGTCAGACTCAAACCTGGCAACGGAGGTTGCCCCCTTCAAATTAAATATATAACAACACGGGAAAGCAAAGGGGATCACCTGGGGCCCACTAAAAATGGGAAAAGGAAACTGAAAGCTCAAAAAATCGACTCGCTTTGGGCAAGTGAGATGAAAGTGGTCTGCCCAAAATGTAAAGAAGAAAAAGCCGCACCCGCGCATTCAGAGGCAGAGAGGCGATTGGCACCGTGAAAAGGACCAGGGAGCCGAGAAGGCTCTGGCCATTGCGGTCAAGCGTACCAGGAGTCTTCAAGTGCTCACCAGGAGTGCTGTCTGCTTTGTTTACATATGAGTCCTGTGCGTATACGTAGAGAGAGAGAGAGAGACCTATCCATCCATTCATCCATCGATATCATCCAGTCCGTCCGTCCGCTCGTCCACCCTCAATCTAATCATGGGGTCTTTGTATCTGTCTATCTATGGTTCTGTCATTCTATCTATCTACATGTTTACATATATGTATGTCTATATTTCTTTCCATCTAAATCTACCCTTCTTTCTGCCTAATTACCTACCTGCCTGCCCACCTACCCCACCTACCCCACCCACCCGGCCACCCACCCGCCCACGTCCCTCCATCTGTCCATCCGTCCGTCCACCCATCTACCCATCTATCCAATCTCAAGCATGAGGCCCAATGTCCCCACATGTGTCATGAGCTCTTGAGAGATGCTTCTGTGGCTTGCCAGCTGAATTCTGTCACTTGAGGTCTTGCCCGAAGGCCCGAATGGTTCAACGGGTCCTTGATACATGTCGAGGCTTTGAGCCGTTTGGTTCAGGTTCAGGGAAATTCAACATGAGACTTAAACATCCAAAGGAATCTCAAGTGTTGGGCATCATGGCTAGAGACCACCGTCAATTCCGCTGCAGCGAGTCAAAAGGGTATCGGAAAAGCGTCCCAACACCAGGACACTGGGACAGTTGAAACGTGTCATACCCCAGTCACGGCGTGCAGAAGGCCTTCCAAGATAGCGGAACCAACCAGAGGGGTACCCTCCCCAAAAACAGAAAAGGAAACGTGCGACCGGCGACGGCCGGTTGAAGGAACGGCCTGGAAACGCCGGTCATGTAGGTCTGCTTCTTCTGCTGCAGTTCCTGGCGTCTCCGTTTGGAAGGCCTCGGGAGAGATTGACCTATTGACCTCAAGGAGTTCAACCGTGAATAGTCTGAATAGAGGAACAGCCAAGCGAGAAATGCTGAGCTGGACGGACCAAAAACAAGCAACTGGCGGAAAAAAAATATCGAGTTCACTTGCGTTCGTGCGAGCGAAAACGGGGTCAAAGATTAGCTCGGCAAGAGAAACCTGCCAAGCCAATGTTGAACTGGTTTGCACGTGCCGCTTTACAAGCATGCGCAAATGTAGTTTCACCGGATCCCCAACAGATTCCCAAATGTCCTGGGTGGAATCACTTGTTCTACGCTGGAGTGAACTGAACGAGCTCAAAGAGTGCAAATGTCGTCCCTGAGTTTTGCCCCAAGATATTGCAAGTAGACTCAGTAGATGTCGTCCATCGAGTTTTGCAGTCAGATATTGCAAGTAGACCAACCACAAACCTTGGGAATGTACAGAGTTTCCCTTCACCTTGCAACATCTTGGGCATCAAATTCCCCAGCTGCTTCCGCCCCCTCGCCTGCTTCAGGCGCGTGACCTCGTTGAGCTTCTGCACGTCGCAAGCGCGCACCTCTGGAACCGTCAAGCGGAGGCATGTGTCAAACATGGACTTTGGAGCCGGTGGTCGTTTTCGTTTTCTCATACTGCCGGTTTGGATGGTACTGCAAAGCGCCCAGGAGCCGAAAGAGTCCCTAATTTTGACAGCCTCTTTTTTGGCAAACCGTTTCACCTGGGCGCAAAGTCAGCCTCTCTCTACTTGGAGTTTGCATTGGAGATGTTCCGGGGCGGTTTCCCATCCCTCTACAAAACGTAACAAAGTCCAATCAGACCCGGGCACAAGCAAAACAAAACCCACAAATCCCAATAGCTCCGCCTCGCCCTTCTTGTTGAAGCCCACAGAGAAGACCACGGTATCGCCGATCTTGGCGCCCTGGGCACCGACTCGATGGTTGCAGAAGGTCAAAAATTGGGCGGCTTCCCCTTCCAATGAGCCCTGCCGTTTCTAGCGGAGTCAGAGCCGCCTTTCAAAAGCACTGTTGTTTTTTTCACAGGGAGCATGCTATCGGGCGCGAAGCCATGCCGCCAAAGCTTGGACTGATGTTCAGAGCAGTCTTACGGTCCGATCGGGCTCGCTCGAAGGGTGTGCGTATCGTTTGGCAGGTGTGGATACAGGGCCATGGTGCGATCAAGCACAAAGGGCTGAGCGGGTTTGCTTCAGCGGGTGTGCTTATCATTGGGTGTGCTTATCATTTGCAGGCGGATGCATGGCTGAGCGCGCGTGCTTGAGCGGGCGCGCTTATCATTTAGGATACAGGGCCGAGCAGGGGCGCTGGCGCACGGACGTGGTTTCCGAAACACATGCATCTTTTTCGGCCGAGCTCCTCAGGGAAAGCGCGCTGAAGGATGCGAAACGTTGGATCATGAATGCCCATGGAAAATGAGTTGTTTGCGGCCGCGCCACAGGAGGGCACGCGCTGAAAAACGCTTGAAGGTAAACGGAACCTCTTATGATGATTAAACCAAATTAAACACAAGAAAAAGGGAAACAATATGGTCCCGAACTCCATTGCTTGAATACGCCAAGGACACCGCGGGGCGATCTCTCTCCCCAAGCAGAACCCCTGGGTTTAGCTACCTGTGGGTTTGCAAGAAAAGACGAGCCCCCGTGCGGACTTCGGATCCGTGCCTGGTAGGACTCCCGGTCAATGAAGATGTCCCGGCCGAAGCGCTTGAAGGTCTCGTTGCAGGACACGAAGCCATACCCCTTCAACGTGTCGAACTTGGAGATGAAGCCCACGTAGTGGTGCGACCTTGCGGGGCCAAGATTTTGAGACAAGCCGTTCCCAGAGAGAACTCAGGCTTGTGGGAGGGCAGGTTTTTGCCAGCAAGCGGCCAAGCCTGGGAATGGTTTGTTGTGGTCGTTGCGGTTGCTGCTGCTGTTGTTTTTGTTCTGGTTCTTGTTCCTGCTGCTGGTGGTGATGGTGTTGTTGTTGATGGTGTTGGTGCTGGCGTTGTCGTTGTGGTTGCTGTTGATGTTGATGTTGATGCCATTGTTGCTCTTACCGTTCGTGTTGCTCCTCCTGCTGCT